ATAACGCAGTTATCCAATGATACACTATAAGAAATTGCTAATAATTCACTTATTATTCTTGATGGAATGTATCGAGATAACGAGCAGTAGTAAAGCTCAAAAGTCCATAAAAGAATACACAAAATAGGAGCAGCGCAAACATGGTCCTCCAAAACATCAGAGGTGTTGTAAATTGTTTGTAGATTTCCTCTTGGTATTAGTACATATAATATGTTAGCTTTTTTAATTTGATGGAATCGACAAAGTTCTTGATGTCATGACAAAACCCTGACATAAACTTCTTGCTCGAAAACCAAATGCAATATCCCGACGTGCACTGCGCACCGTTTTTTTCCAGATATATAATTCTTGCCCATTGATGTTGATAAATCTTCCAGCTACAAATCAACTAAATAATATAGAGAAATTGACTACTATGTCATCTGGTATCTAATGAATTGACTTGAATCCACCCGACTTCCAGTTTCCCAATTTTGTCGATGAATCTAGAAATTGCTTTTTAGTGATTACTTAATGCCGTGACTATTTATGATGAATTGATAAATTTTCTATGCTTGGAAATATATTTGCACAATTTTTCATTACAAGAATGCATAATTTTAATTTTCTTTTAAAATAAAATTATCAGAAGAACCCCCTGTAGACACCATGCTGTTTGCTTTAGCATGCTTTTAAAGGATCAATCACCAAACACATTCTGATATTTTTCTCAGAGTTTTTTTTAATTAGTATTAACATTGAGAATCTAGCACAAAGAAGGAATTATTTCATAAAGGTATTGGCACAAATTTCATTTCCTCTATGAAATTGATATGCCTCAGTGAACACTGTGGCTATTCATCAGTCCACATATTAATACTTCATTTTTAAACCAAAATACTATATTATTATATATGAAATATATCATTATCAAGTTTTTAAATGTAAAACTTATTCTCTTTGACAGTTTGAAGAGGATTTTAATAGTTTCTATTGTCATGAATTGTTTAGAGGCATTAATCTCCCAATCAAAACATGATTCATAAAATGGCCATATTGTATATAAATGATATGTTTAATTACAAACTATAGCATGCATGTCTATTATCGCTTCGTTTACAGTCAGCTGGCGAAGAAAGATAGAAGTAGTAACAGAGAGCTTCTGGATTGTTAGTGTAGAAAGAGAGAGCTTCTGAATTGTTAGTGTAGTAATAATTAACTCTTCTGAATTGTTAGTGTAGTAACAGAGCCTCTGAATAGTTAGTGTAGTAATAATTAACTTCTTCTGATTGTTAAAGCAGACGTTACATTAATTTTCCTTAAAGAACTGTACGTGTTGATTAGATCGAGATATTCTCAATTGATTTTGCAAGAATGCAAAGAGAATTTTAAAAGTATACTTATTAATTTTCTGGTCTGTTTCTTACCACAGACACAAAAATAAATGGATTATCATACATCCTTTCATTCTACAGGCTTGAAGTAATTGCATGTAGTTAACCCGTACATTAATTAAAGGTTTAATTTATCGAAACTCTCTCTTGGACGTGAAGACAAGTACTCTTTGTCATGACTGGGCAAATGCTAGAGACACATTTATAGGTCTCATGTCACAGTAAAAGTTAGAAATTTGGCGATCATTTATCGCACAATGAAAAATTATGCCGAGTTCAGCTCTAAATTCACTGCCTGAATAAGCATAAGCAACTGGATGTAAGAAAAAGCCCACCTCTGACGTGATTAATTACATTGATCTTACAGTGCAATAAATTAATTTGATTTATTTTACAGGGCAATAACCGACATCAAATCAGTTTCCTGTAGTGTGTATAACAATGCTATTATTGAGGAGCATTTCACGTGAACGGCTTTATTAATTTCTCCTTTATGAAAAAGGGATATAATAAAATATGATGTATTAATTTTTCTTAGTTTCAGCACGAAAGGGGAAAGTTCAACACTGTGCTGATTTACTGTTTGGAATGATATTGAAATGATATCTGAGACCGTGGTCTTCCTCCTAATTCTGATATCACTGACCAGGTCATGTTACCGTACGACTTTTAATTATCCATCCGGAAAAATTATCGTGAATGCCTCATACTCTGTCTTCTCTACAAATACCCTGCTATCCTGTGTTAGGAAATGCAAGTTTCAAAGAAAATGTCTATCTGTCAACTTTGATACCATAGGGAGGAAATGTTATTTAAACTACAAAGGACACCTTACACCTGGAACACAAATGGAAACTTCCGGTCACGTCAGATCTTATGACGTCGATGTTTGGAAAGATGTATGTACCACTTGTTAAATTCAATGTAGTATAACTTTTTAAAAATAAAACTAACCAGCATATAGTGGTCATTGGTTAGTTTTAATTTTTTGTAGTAATTCAGGTCTTTTTATTTCTCTTCACATTTTTAGCTCATCTGAGCTGAAGGCTCAAGTGAGCATTTTTGATCAAAATTTGTCCGTTGTCTGTCGTCGTCGTCCTTGTCATTGTTGTGGTCGTAACTTTTCACATTTTCTTCTTCTCAAGAACCACTGGACCAATTTCAACCAAATTTGCTACAAAGTATCCTTGGATGAAGATTTTCAAGTTTGTTAAAATGAAGGGCCATGAGGAGATAATTATGAATTAATGAAAAATTAACGGCATCTTCTAAAAACCTTCTCCAGAACCATTGGGCCAGGAAAAATGTAACTCATGTGAAATAATTTTCAGGTAGTGTAGATTCAAGTTTGTTCAAATCATGACCCCCTTGGGTAGGGCGCGGCCACAATGGCTGATCAAAATTTTACATAGGAATATATATGAAAAATCTTTACAAATATTCCTCTGCAGAACAACTGGGCCAGTAAATATGAAACTCACGTGAAAGCATCCTCAGATAGTGTAGATTCAAGTTTGTTCAAATCATAACCCCCGGGGGTAGGGCGGGGCCACTATGGCTGATTAAAATTTTACATGAAATAAAGGAATTTATAGGAAAATCTTTAAAAATCCTCTTCTACAGAACCAAATGTCCAGCAAAGATGTAACTCATGTGGAAGCATCATCAGGTAGTGTAGATTCAAATTTGTTCAAATCATGACCTCCGGGAGTAAGGCGGGGCCACAAGGGCTGATCAAAGTTTTACAAAGTCGCGGAATACATTAGACATTTAAAAAAAATCTTCTCCAGAACCAAATGACCAGGAAAGATGAAACTCATGTGGAAGCATCTTCGGGTAATGTTAATTCAAGTTTGGTCAAATCATGACCCCCGGGGTAGGGTGGGGCCACAATGGCTGATCAAAATTTTACCTAGGAAAAATCTTTTAAGGATTTTTCTCTCAAGATCAGCAAAGCTATGATTGGTGATTTTAATATGGAAACATCCACAGTTAGAGTAAACTCAAATTTGTTCATATCATTATCCCTGGTGGTAAGGTGGGGCCATAATGGGAAATCAATTTATTTTTTATAGAAATATATAGGAAAAATCTTTGAAATTCTTCTTCTCAAGTATGGCAAAATTATACACGAATGTTTTATTGATATATAATGACATTCTCAAATAATAAAAAAATTCAAATCCCTTCTCCCCCAACAAGTAAACTTTTCAATACTAAGCTGAATTGAGTTTTTTAACTAGCTGATGTGCTCAGGTGAGCGTTGTGGCCCATGAACCCCTTGTTATATCTGTATATGCGAGTGATCTAAACAAAATTCATGACACACAATTTTGTCAATGGAATGGACTTAGAAACTGTTCGTCTTCTCCATATATTTATATCATAAACATATCATATACTTTAATATTATTATCTGATGGAATTTCTATTTGAGTGTTTTATTTTTAGGACATATGTTGAAACAATAATCAAATTGAACCAAGAGTAAATAATGATTTAAAAATTGGTATTCATTTAAGACACCTTTTAAATAAAAATTAAAATTTTTACACCCTCAAACAACACTTTGAAAATCATGACACCAATCATCTGTTTTTAAGGCTATTAAGATGAAAATTTGACATTTTATTAAAATTTTGATTCTGGTTTCACTGATTTAAATTTGAGTTCAACGTTTTACATAGTATCATAGAAATAGAAGCAAATGTAATAGTTATATGCGTATATTATTCCAAATTTTGTTCGTGCACTGAAAGACCTTATCGGCCTTCATATTAATCGTCCCAATATAATTAATATGAAAGATATATATTTAAGAATTTAGTGTATTTATGTATATAACGAAATTTATGTGATCTAAATACGTAAAAAATTTTGCATTTTTATTAATCACTATTTTTTGTGAATCCATGGGTCCCAACGGGATTTTCCGGGTTTTATATTTAAAAACCCTTTAGTTACGGCTATTAGCCTATCCTTATCAAATTAACTTTTGGCTCCGAAAATGTGGTTTACAATTTTTTTTTGCGCCCCACCTTCTGCTGCATTCTGAAATTGTAAAATATGTAACCTCATGTGGCATTTCTAATAAATGCTCTATACACACATACACCCTCTTTATTCTTTAATATGCTCCAGAACAGAGCTGCAAATGTGCTTCAGATTCGTACGAACCGAATTGTTCATCAGATTTAGTATTTAAGAGCACATAACAATTGCAAAGAACATTGAATATATTATGTAGATTCAAAATTTGGTTAGTATTGGTTGCATGTTAACCAATTTAAAAACATTGTCTACAACCCTCGTATATCTATATTTGTAAATACTTTATTCTAACTAACAGTAGTAAATTTCCAGGGGGATTTTTCGCTATGTTTAGGAAATATTTTCAAACAGTTTCTGCATGAATTCAAAAACATAGTTTTGTGCGTTTCTCTTTACGTGTATAAAGATAAAAATGTGTGAACAGTTTTCAATCATCACATAGTCATATGACTATAATTTTTTTTCCCAAAAAATAATAATAGCATCTAACAAGAGGATATTGAAAGGATATTAGGATTTCATAGATACACGTGAGTGTTCTGTCTTCTATATACATGTTTTTTTTATTAGGAGGACCTGTACATGGGAAGCTGTAGCAACCACAGTTGTAGGTATGACCTGATCTGTGAACAAGGTAGTGATCACACAGCGCCCTACACGTGTGTACAGGACACACAGTGTCAGTGGAGAGATGGCTGCTCAGGTTGTATTCAAGGTATCTTCCGGTAATTTAACTGTCAAATATATGAAATATATGCGGTGCATACAATGTACATACACACCTGAATACTGTTCTTTATCTCCATATATATCTTACATGCATACACTCCAATATGTACACGTACATAAAACGGACATGATTACTTGTGTAAACATGTTATTTTAAATTTTAGAGAATTTATATCAGTGGTTTTTCATTACAAAAGTGCATTTTATAATGCTATTCAATATGATTAAAAAGTTATCATTAAGAAAAAAAGTTTACATAAAAGGGTTTTGAAATAAGAATTAAAAAATTGTTTTAGATATAAATGTGCTTATTTGATTTTTATGGGAGTATTCAACCGTTGCATTGTAGACAATGGAGAGATGATCCAACCAAACACTCAGGACTTTACGCCTATTGGCTGCTACCACGCTGCCGGTGCTAACTCTGGATTTCTGAGTTATGTTAATATGAGACCCCAGATAAACTGGTATGACATTGGCGCGACAGTCCGGGCATGTGCAGAGGAGGCCAGAAACAGAATGTTACAGTTCTTTGGTTTGGAGTTTTACGGGGAGTGTTATATGAGAAATGATACACTGGATGTGTCATAGATGATTGTTACAGTGAATCAGTGCTTCGAGAAATGTGCATTTGGTGTTGGAGCTGCTGATATTATTTTCTTTTACCAGCTAATTTGAAAGGAAGAAATAAGAAAATCAACTATATTTCAATTCTATTTATTCAGATAGATATTTGTTATATTATGTTTATTGTACTATTGTAACGAATAGAGTTGTACAAAAGAATTAGATAATTTGATATGATATTCATTACTGAGTAACGTTAAACTCTGCATCATGAATCAAATCTCCAGCTGAAATTAACAAACATAGAAACACCTTTGTCTTTTTAAGGAAGAAAATGACTGGCTTATGCAGATCTTTTAGAAATTCTTTAATGTGGATTTAATTCTTTTATGTTCTTACATTGAAATATGCTGGAAATCAAATTAAGATGGAGAGTGCATGAAAATGAATTTAAATTTTTTTTTTCATGTTTGACTTTACTGATTGTAGGAAATGCATAAGAAAACAAATCTTTTCCGAGTCAACAGGACTGTAGCAAATCCTTTAAAGGATTAGTTAAATGTGCTATCGTCATTCCTTAAGACATTGTGCACTATTCTTATCTTTAGACCATCGACTTTTACAATGCGGATAATCATCATCATGTTCTTTGCTAGAGGTTTAACTCTTTTTATATGGTTTGAGACGATATCTTCCATCCTTCTACAAAACATTAACCATGGTGACCAGGTCATCACAAGAAACGAACTTACCCAGGAGATCCAAGGTTTGAAGACAATCATTGCGCAGATGAATCCTACTAACTTAAACAGGAGATCCAACGTTTCAAAACAGTCATTGAGCAAATGAATGCTACGATAGTTAAAGGTAAATTCTCATGTCCTCCACCTCTTTCTTAAAAAAGTATACTTGGTTTAGATTTTTTCATTTAAAAAAAATGATAGACCAATTCAACGCGTAATAGCGTTTAATATGTCTTATAATTTATGAGGGAACATAATATTATTGTCTGTGTAAAGCTATTTATATTAAAATCATATCCTGGACATAAATCTGACATTTTTATTTTGAATGCATTTAGAATACGGTGTGCCATTGTCTATAAACAAAATGTTACATGGGCTTTACCCAAGATTATTGTTCAAAAAGGTCATTCACATAAAGTTCACTATGGTACTGAATAGTAAATTAATCATCCAGATTTATTATCAAAATTCCTTGATTGTATAATTTCAAAACCGTGGCGTATACGTTCAATGGTTTGATTTTAATCAGTGCACACAGTGATTACATTTTATGAAGATCGATTCATGATAACTAAATTTAAAGAAGAAGAAATCGACAATACTTGTTTTTTCATAGATTCACAGGAAGTAGACATAAAATATATGCATGTTCAAAAAGTATTATTTGTTATTTTCTATTATTAAATAAATTTATGTCTTAAAGGAAGACGGAAAGATATGGTTAGGGATAAATGAAAAAAAAAATTGTTATTAAACGTCATAACCAAATTTGGTACATCCAAACAACTTCCACATCCTTTTTGGCAATGTGAAACTTAACGACGGAAATGTGTACCACCCTACTCACGGAATATTTGTCGCCCCATATCCAGGAAATTTACCACTTCGCAGTGGAAATTACAGCGCCTGATTATTCTGACCATCACCTTCTTGGACACCAACAAGCACCAATATCTGCGCATAACTCGATCTATTGTTTTACAATTCAACACTGGGGATAGTGTTTGGTGCCAAAGGGAATACATGGGTGGCCAAAACACAATTACTGGTGGAGATACATACTCAATGTTCTGAGGGTTCATAATACATCTGACTTATTATTTTTTTTTTATTATCAGAATAAAAATAATTAAGTTTTATTTCGATTTTGATATGCTTCTATATGCAGGTTCTTTAACCCGCGCCCTTCTACACATGCAAATTTGGCATGTTTTATGATTCTCCCAATAACAGTTTGTTTTTAAAAATATTGTGTTTATTGATTTCATCTCGTTATATTTTTGCTCACCTCTGAGTAGGACTGATAGTCAAAATTAAAATGTATTTTCTATATACGTACTTCGTTAACAATTATGGTGTTTAATTAGTGTTAAGATTTTACAAATATACGAGTATACGAGGGTTGATCAAACAGTCCATGGACTGATGCATTAGAATTAATACATTTTCGTCGATTATTATAAAATTTATAAAGTACCGGTACACAAAAAAACCAAACTTTAAGACAATGTAGAACTTTTAGCTTGATATGTTGATTATTTTGCATATAATCTTAAATAAAAAATGATATCAGATGTACACCCGGTTCTGTTACCGTTTAGTTTCATGATGTCTGACTGCGTCATTATTTCTTAATGTCAGCCACCTCTGCCTCAATAAAATTAAGACATCAACCTTTCTTGTTTGTATGACTTTACAATTTCATGAACAACTAATTTTAATGCATTTATATTGTAAATGAATTTTTAGAAAGGAGAAGATAGATTTATCATGGCAGTATGATTTGTTTGTCGGAGGTCAATGTCTACTTTATATGATCAATGTCACCTTTCCGATGTGACTAACTTAAGACACTATGCCTAGAAATCGACGTTAGTTGTGCATCTGTTCTATGCCCCGCTCATCAGATAACAAAATGCAACATAAAACTAATCTTATGCAAAAATTAAAGCATATTGTCCAAGATATAGAACATTTCTTTTGTTTGCTTTTTTGTCCTGCAATATATATTTTTAGAACTCCTAACTATATAAGCTAGAGCTTTTAATTGTTTAAGATGATATTGTTGAATTTTTTTTTTGTAAAAGATTGTATATCCTCATATTCTTAGTCCATTATTTATGCACTGAATTGACGACGGAATTTTTCCGTCATTTTTCCATTATAACGAGGAGCGCATATCGGGTATCAGTCGGCAGGAGATGCTTACTCCTCTAAGGCAAGCTGTAATAGCCACAGATGTAGACATGATTTGGTCTGTGAAAAGGGAAGGGACCACACAGTGGCCTACACGTGTGCACAGGACACAATGTCAGTAGAGTGATGGCAGTTCTGGTTGTATTCAGGTAAGCTTAGGGTGAGGTTTATGGTTTCAGCGCCCTACACATGTGTACAGGACACACAGTGTCAGTGGAATGATGACTGTTCTAGTTGTATCCAAGGTAAGGTTGGGTTAAGGGTCGGGGTTAGGGTTGCAGCGCCTCATACGTGTATACAGGACACACAATGTCAGTGGAATGATGGATGTACAGCCTGTCTTCAAGATAAGGGTCAGGGTTAGGGTTATGGTTAGGGTAAGGGTCAGGGTTACAGTGCCCTACACGTGTGTACAGGACATACAATGTCAGTGGAGTGATGGCTGTTCGAGTTGTATTCAAGGTATCTTCCGGTAATTTAACTTACAAATAGATGCGGTGCATACAATGTACATACACACCTGAATACTGTTCGTTATCTCCATATATGTATATTTCATGCATATACTCCGATATGTACATATACATGTGCATGATTACTTGTATAAACATTTGATTTTAAATTCCCTTATGAGAATTTATATCGGTGGTTTATCATTTCAAAAGTGCATTTTATAATTCTATTCAATATGATTGAATTATTCAAATAGAAATTACTTAGAAAGAAAATATGACTTTTGGATTTTGAAAATTTAAAAAAGCAGAATTCTAGATATAAATGAACTTATTGATACAACAATGACTGCATTGTAGACAATTGTGAGATGGTCCAACCAGAGACGCAGGACTTTACACCTATTGATTGCTACAATGCTGCCGGCGCTAACCCTGGATTTCTGAGTTATGTTAATATAAAGCTCCAGAATAACTGGTATGACATCGGCGCTACCAGTCAGGCGTGTGCTGTAAAAGCCAGAAACAAAATGTTACAGTACGTTGGTCTAGAGTTTTACGGGGAGTGTTTTATGAAAAATGATTCACTGGATGTGTCGTACACATTGGTTGCTGTGAACCAGTGTTCCGAGAAGTGTGCATTTGGTATTGAACAAAAGATGGTCAGAATAATGTTCTAAAGATCTTTAAGAAATTCATTAATGTGGATTAATTCTTTTATATTCTTATATTGATATATTCTGCAAATCAAATAAAGATGGAGAGTGCATGAAAATGAATGAAAAAAGTTTTTTTTTCAACGTTTCACTTTACTGATTGTAGGAAATGCATAAGATGACAAGTCTTTTCCGAGTCAACACGATTATAGCAAATCCTTTAACAGATTAGTTAAATGTGATATCGTCATACCTTAAGACATTGTGCACTATTCTTATCTACAGACCGTCGACTTTTACATTCCTGATAAACACCATCATGTTCTTTGCCAGAACTCTAATTCTTTTGATAGGTTTTGGGACGATATCCTCCATTCTTCTGGAAAACATTGACCACGGTGACCAGGTCATCACAAGAAATGAACTTTTCCAAGAGATCCAAGGTTTGAAAACAACAATTGCGCAGATGAATACTACTAAACTTGACCAGAAAATACAAGCTTTGGAAACAGTCATTGAGAAAATGAATGCTACGATTGTTACCGGTAAATAGTTATGTCCTACACCTCTTTATTGAAAAAAAGTATACTTGGTTTTGATTCTTTCAGTTTGAAAAGAAATCGTTATAGAACAATAAAACAATTCGTTGCATAATTACGTATAGTATGTCTTACTATATTATTGTGTGTGTAAATCTGTCTATGTTAAAATCATCTCGATCTATTTTGAATGCATTTATAATATGCATATGGTGTGCCATTGTCTACAGACAGAATATGTTTCCTACGCTTTACACATGATATTTGTTCAAAAAGGTCACTAAAATAAAGGTCACTATAATACTGAATAGTGAATTAATCATGCAGATTAATTATCAAATTCCCTTGGTTGTATAGAAAACTTTCAAAACCTTAGCGTATGCTTCCCATGGTTTGAATTTTAATTAGAGTAAACAGTGATAAAAAGATTCTATGAAGATACATGTACATCATAACTGAATTTTAAAAAGAAGAAATCGACAATACTTGTTTTTTCATAGATTCTCAGGAAGTACACATATGATGTATATGTAATCATAAAGTATTATCTGTTGTTTTATATTATTTTTTAAAGGAATAACATAATATTTACATTTGCAAATGTTTTCCTTTATATAACATTACTGAAAGCAATGTGTATCTATAACTGTTAATTAAAATATATGTCTACACGAAAGATGGAAAATAATGTATGAAGGTCAATCTAAAACTTTGTCATTAAAAGTCATAATCAAATTTGGTACCAAAATATATTTAAAAATAGATGTAAACAAATGGAAAACATGAATAAAATATATCTTGATATACTGCAGAAACAAAAAAAAAATTCATGGGGATGAAATTTCGTTGATTATTTATGTAAAATGGTTTTATGGGCATAAAATGTAGTTGCTTCGGCAGTAACTCTATTGAAAACATAGGCATATGAAAATTTCGTGTGTTATATAGTTTTGTTGATAATTGTTAACAACGAGAAATTTACATTTCCAATGTCTTTGTCCGCGATAAAATAACACAAAGAGAAAATGCACATTTTCCCCATTAATATATTGTTTCATCAATAGGCACGGTTAAATAAATCACGTGCAGGGCGAGACAAATAGCTAGACGGAGGCAGGACGTAGAGCACATGGATTGACGGAATCAAAACAACGTAAATATACGGAATAACTGTCAGATTTTTCCATTTCATGACGTTGATCAATGAATTGGCTTGCGTGATATATTTATGCAGAAACGCGTTCGGCGTTTATACAAATTATGACACAAGCCGATCGATTGATCACTTCATCAAATCGAAGAATAAGACAGTTATTCCTTTAATAAACGAAACTTAATCCCAATGAAATTTTCTGCTTTTACAGTTTTATTATTAGAAATATTAACGATGAAGTATATGTTGATAACGAACAGTATTGAAGGCGATAACAGAATATACCTTGATAAAGAAGGAAAGTTAGCAATGAATATTATTGTAATGTAATATGTGGAGATAACGGACAGTATTCGAGCTCAAAGTCATCTCCTTTGTCAATTAGTTTATTTGGTCCTATAATAAAACTGTTTCAGGACAATTTTTACCTTGCTCTGATATTTTCTTGATCTTATCGTCATTTCCACATTGCCTTCATTTAAAGACTATATTTATCTTTATAAATATAAGTCATAGAAAATGAATAAAGCTACTAAAATGATACAGGTGCAACCATTAACTTAACGCTTATTATCAAAAACTGGACGTGTTTATCTTGCTACACCTATCATGATTAACTATTGTAGAGAGAACCAGGTCCAATGTTGCTTTTGTGGCGGAGCTCTCAAGGAGTATTACAAACCCGACGAACAAGTTCCACATCCTGTTTGATAACGTCAAACTAAACTTTGGAAATGCTTACCACCCCACTCACGTAATTTTTGTCGCCCCTATCCAGGAATCTACCACTTTGCAGTCGAAATTTCAGCACCTCCTACTTCTGACCCTCACACGATGCATGTTCGAATTATGAAAAAAACACAGGCTGTGGCCATCACTTTCTTAGACAGCAACACGCACCAATTTCTGCGCAGAACCGGATCTATTGTTCTACAGCTTACCACTGGCGATGACGTTTGGTGTCAAACTGAATACATGGGTGGACAAAACACAATTACTGGTGGAAATACATACTCAATGTTCTCTGGGTTCATAATACATCCGATTTATAAAATTTTGTTAACATCAGAATAAAAGTAGTTAAGTTTCATTTTATTTTTGATATACTCCTGTATACAGGTTTATTGTTGCCCCTACTTTTGCCCTTCAACACTTTCAAAACATTTCGATCCGTTCTTTAGTATTGTTAAATGAAACAGTGTTCTTTTATTTCATCTCGTTTATAACTGACCACCTCTAAATAGGAGAAAAGGGGTAAAAATGAAACAGGGACACAAACTTTCCTTAATGCTATGCATTTGTTAGTATTTTATTGATTAATTATTTTTTAAATATTGCAAATCTATTAGTATACCAAAAATGTCGTGGAGCGATGATAGCGAAATTATATAGATATATCAACGAGGCATTATCAAATAGAATGGTAATTTCCATGCCTATGATATAAGATTTATCCCGATCGGCTTGAGAATGATATGGAGATAACGAACAGTATTCAATCTCAAAGTCCATAAATCAATACAAAATGGTGGTAGCAGAGCAAATACGGCCCTCCGAATTATCAGAGGTGGGATCAGGTGCCATGAAGGAGTGAGAATTCCGTGCTGACCTGTTACATCCGCCTTTGGCTCCTTGTCATGATGGAAATAACGGAAAAATCAGTCATCAATTCAGTGTATAATAATAGACTATCAATAATTATGAAAAAGTCATTCAGCATTTGACTCAATGATAAATTGTATTTATTGACAAGGTCAATGTATCGACCATAGAGTTTAAGAAAGGATGACTTTAAACGATACTGCTGATATTCTTGTTTTATCATCCTGCTTGTCAAACATTTACCTCGTTTAAGAAATTGTTCATACGTAGAGTATGCTCTTGACAAACGAATTGATGAAATAGGAATGCCAGGAGTCTTGTTTAAAGTCATCAATTCATAGGTTAACGGTCAATACAATGACTTGTCAGTGAATTCAATTTATCATTGAGTCAAATGCTGACTGAGTTTTGGAGACCTAGTATCCGAGAATATAGATATTGTCAATCAGAAACCTGAGCATGTTTTTGATGTCAACTTTTGAGTACTTGAGTGTACAATTAGTTTAGTTAAAATAATTTAGCAAATAATGAATGACAAGATACGTTTATTTACTATTTCCATTTTAATTGAAAAAATGCTGTTAATGATATCAGAAAACCTGGACTTAAATTTATCGTGATGAATGGTTATGTATAAAGTTGAAATGTCAAAAGTTTTAAGCCAACATTGATTTTGATCAAATCTTGTGATTTTTAATTTTCCAAGAGATCCTTGTAGTTTTTGAATATCCACATCTGATTTAGACCACTACCAGAATATACTGATGCACAGTAATCTGAAAGTTTTTTCTTTCACTACTCTTGGAATCATAGTGAGGAGTAAAGAAAGATGCTTGGTTGAAAATTTACTCGAATCCGCTATGTATATTTGTTTACGGATTTATGTATGTTTAATGTATGTTTAATGTATGTTTGATAACTAATTGCAAATTATAACAGGTTTGCTTTTCATCACTGCCTTACAATAGATGTCGAAAAACTGTAGAAGCATTAATAGAGAGATTCTTCAGAGCTGTTAGGTAGTAACAATCATCTTCTTTAGAAACTCTAAAAGCTGAAACATCTTCTTTCTGTTAAGGACTGAAAGTGCTGATTAGATAAAGAAGTTAACAACAAATTTTGCATAGAATGTATTTCTTATAATGTGATGGGCCCGTGGGGATCCGGGTTAGCATAGGTCCTCAGTACCCCTTGCTTGTCGTAAAACTGAATGGGGCGGTCCTTCGGATGAGACCCTATAAACCAAGGCCCCGTGTCACAGCAGGTGTGGCACGATAAAAATCCCTCCCTGCCCAAAGGCCGTAAGTGCCGAGCATAGGCCTACATTTGCAGCCATTCACAGCCAATGGTGACGTCTCCATATCAGTGAAATATTCTGAAGAGGGACGTTAAACAGTATACAATCAATCAATCTAATAATGTGATGCTTTGCTGTGGAGAGTTACATAAGCTTAACAAATTAATTCTCAAGGTATACACTATTCATTAATTTTCTGGAAGGTTTCGTTGCCATAAAAACAAAAGTAAACGTGAAAAGCATTTATTATAGAGTTGTGAAGTAAGTACATGCACATGTGGTTGGCCCTAACCTTGATGGTTTACTAATCGAAACTCTCTGTGAATGCAAGACTTTCGAATACCACTGACGCAATACTAGGTCTCATGCCATGTTATAGTAGTTGTTTGAATTTTGGCGATAATTTATTACAAAATGAACAATGATGCCAAGTTTAGCTCTAAATGAACAGTCTTGTAACGGCATCTGTGGCGACCGAATACACGTGACAAGTTATAGGACTTCAGGAAAACTGGAAAGTAGACTTCTAGATATAAAGGAGCTTATTGGTACAACACTGACAGCATTGTAGACAACGGTGAGATGGTCCAACCAGACACTCAGGACTTTACGCCTATTGATTGCTACCACGCTGCCGGCGCTAACCCTGGGTTTCTGAGTTATATTAATATAAAACCCCAGATCAACTGGTATGACGTCGGCGCTACCAGTCTACCAGTCAGACGTGTGCTGAGGAGGCCAGAAACAGAATGTTACAGTTCTTTGGTCTTGAGTTTTACGGGGAGTGTTATATGAGAAAGTATTCACTAGATGTGTCGTATACAATTGTTGCGGTGAACCAGTGTTCCGAGAAGTGTGCATTCGGTTTTTGGAGTTCCTGACATTATTTTGTTTTACCAGCTCATTTGATAATCAGTATTTTCTTTTAACTGAATTTTGTCAAGTGAATATAAGTTGTGCTTATTGTACTGTACATCGAACTACGTCAGACAATCTTACTGGTAAATGTGATAATTAGTTCGTACCGTAATAATGTATCTTAAGAATCTCTGTATAGCAATCAAGTTTACTGCAGAATTGAATAAACATGTTTTAGAAGAAAATATCTTGCTTGTGCACGTTTTTTTAAAATCATTTATTTGAAATTGAAAAAAAGATTTTATATTGATGATAAAGACGAAGAGTGCATAAAAGGAGTGTAAAATTTTATATAACAATTTATATTATAGATGGTGGGAAATAACTCAGAGCAGAAATATTTTCTAGTTAAGTCCTATTTTCATAGATTCGTAATTATTATTCTTATATAAGTTAAATGTACTTCTGTTTTTCCTTAAGAGAACACGTGTGCACTACTCTTATCTACAGGCCGTCGACGTTTACAGATTAACACCATCATGTTCTTTGCCAGAACTTTAATTCTTTTGATAGGTTTTGAGACGACATCCTCAATTCTTCTGGAAAACATTGACCATGGTGACGAGGTTATCACAAGAAATGAACTTGACCAGGAGATCCAGGGTTTAAAGAAAACCATTGCGCAGCTGAATGATACCATTGTTAAAGGTAAATTATCGTGCCCTAAATTAGTTCAAACACTAATGATTAAATTTTCTGGAGATATGGTGTGTTAGATTAATCATACCTGGTGACTGATCTCTTCCACTATGATCTCTTTGCATTGATTAGATTGAAGGGACTTTTCGTGGTTAAATTCAATATAAGGTCTATCAACTGGTTTGAAACTAAACCAAATTTCGACCAAATAATACAAATCACATGTTAACAAATTCATTAAAAGGATTAAAGATTTTACGAAATATCACCTTTGGTGGAGGTTGTTGAAATCTCTGTGAAATCAAGTTATCTGTCAGTAGCCTTCTCGATGTTAAATTAATCGTACTCTTGACATGCTTTTGGGCATCGCATAAGTTGGGAGATTAAACACCATATATATATGTACAACGTAGGTGTTGACGAATTTTATTCATAAAACAGGAAAGTTAAAGATGAAAAAATTGAGGTCATCTTGTTTGTTATAATAGTTTAGTTGTTAGTTCACACTATAATGACAATGTTTTTGAAAACATATCTACTTTGCTCTGGTATTTTCCTTCTTTCAAATGCAGGTTCTATGATCTTTTCAATATTTCCACAATGCCCTCTTACTTAAGGTCCACAAAACAATACAAAATAAGAGCAGAGAAAACACGAAACTCCAACCCCTATGCTCCAAAACATATATCTTTGCAGATAATTTTCAATATTATAGCAGCTCAAATGTAATATCAGGCTGTCATTGTTAACATATGACACTAAGAATAAAGCAAAAATGTAATAAAAATCGATTAAACTACAGTGTAGCATTTAAGAGAGATCTAAAATTTAAGCTATGTCACAGAAGTTGAATGAAGTGAATAAAATTATACAGGTTGATGATAATCAAAACATGGAATTGGTATCTGATAATATTTATCATTATTTATTACTATAGAGAGAACCCGGTCCAATGTTGCTTTTGTGGCGGAGCTCTCAAGAAGTATTACTAATCCGATAAACAACTTCCACATTGTGTTCGACAATGTCAAGCTTAACGCTGGAAATGCTTACCAATCCATTCACGGAATATTTGTCGCCCCATATCCAGGAATTTACCACTTTGCAGTAGAAATTACAGCACCCCCTAATTCAGATTCTTCTCACATGATGCATGTCCGAATTATGAAAAAAACACAGCCAGTGGCCGTAACCTTCTTGGACGCCAACACGCACCAATATCTGCGCAGAACCGGATCTATTGTTCTACAACTCAACACTGGGGATGATGTCTGGTGCCAAACCGAGTTAATGAATGGCCATAACACGATCTTTGGTGGAGATACATACTCAATGTTCTCAGGGTTCATAATACATCCGATTTATTAAAATTTTATGAAGCAGAATTAAACAATATAAAAATCATTTTTCTTTTGATATTGTGCTGAGGCTTATGTCCTGGACGACTGCAGGAGGTTGTCGGTGGTCGGGACATACGCGGGCACGAAGCTCACTGAAGCAAGAAGACATCACTTCTAATTCATGCAGGTGTTAGATGGTTCGTACCTGAACTATTCGGTTCCACAACACTCCTACCCGTTTTATTCTAATCCATCGTATAATGCTTAAAGTTGATAGTTTCGATAAGCATAAACAAAATACAAATTAACTGAAAATATCAATTTCAACGAAGACTTGAAAAGGAACTAACAGTGATACATCTACAAATATAAACATTTTGACCTTATAATAATGATGTAGATGTTCAGGACAAGTCATAATCTTCCAATGGCTTTGGCAGCTTAACACAGCGACGCTCTCTTGAGTTTGCTCTTTAAGCTGGACTTGACTTTAATTTGGTTGTAAGATTTTCACTCAATTTGTTGGTGGCTCTTGAATTTTTATTTAGAATGTTTTTTCTCTGGTCGCCATATCATTCATCTTCCTCCTCTGCTTCTTGTTCTTATGGCGGTACAGCTGTTGTCACTGTCTGTCTCAGTCTGGTCAGCCACACTGGGATGTCACAGTCAAAGCATTTCGTCAATCTGTCATGATGGACCACTTTCTCCTTCCGCCTATTCTTTATGCAGTTAAGGACTGGTGACAGCTTCTGTGTCTAAATAGATGGACCAATCCAAGGTTTCTTTTAAGCTTTTTGGATTGTCCTTTGTTTGTTGATGAATCTATCATGTAGACTAAGTCTCCAACATCAAATGTGTGGTCGAGAAGCCGCAAATCATAGGTTTTTTTGACGCATTTGTGCATTGTGTATATTTTCTCTGGCAATTGCGTGGACTTAAGACATAACTTCTCCTAGCTCCTCCATGTAGTCATATGATTCTCGCGGCTGTTGGTTTACACCACATCCATTATGATGTCTGTTTGTCTGTTTACAGTGGCCCTTATAGCACCAGCAATGAGTTGGAAATGTCGATCCCAATCTCGCTGGAAACGCATATTTTTAAATAGCAAAGGTTCGACTGTAAAACAGTTCCATTGTCCATTCGCACATGGTCTGTATGGAGTTGTGTGTATTTTCGTTATCCCTAGCATTTACAGTCTTAATTGAAATAAGTCACTCATGGAATTTTTACTTTCATCCGAGTGGATCTGAAGAGGACACGCCATTTTTGCAATGAATCCTTCAACCAGTGACAAGTCCACTTATTCTGCTTTTCCCTCTACCTGATTCTATGAAGGGCCCTAGAATGTATACATTGTATGTTTAGTGCAATACATTCAGTTAATATGACTTCCTCTAAGATTTCGTTTTTCTTCTTCATACGAGGTCTTCAAGGTCGATCTGAGTGCTACATACTTTTTCTCCATTGCTAACATGAGCCATAAGGAATGTGCGTCACTGAAAAACTTTGGATAGTTCTTACGGGAACATGAGATGTACTAGTTTTTCTTCTTCGAAAATATTTACTTTTCCTTATTGAAATTTTCTTATGGCTTTAGCTCGGCAGATCTTTAAATCTGTAAAATATTAGCAATTGATTCACGATCTATACTTTTTGGAATGAACTCAGGAAGATTTGCATCATTAAGATTAAGTGAATCAAATTTCCAAGATCTAGTTCAAAACGAAGAAATTCAGCTGCAAAATTTTCCTGCAAACTTTCCTGGAACTTTTTGTCAATTGATTTTTCTTCTCTCAAAATACTGGGGATTTCCTCTGTTTTTTTTTTCTAAAACAGTGACTTGGTTCTGCATAATATTGTAGATTACTGCCAGCTTATCTTCCACAATTGTATCGACAATCTTGTGAATTTTTTCTCTGTGGTTTCTGAAAGCTAAGATCGGCGTTGAATGCTGTCAGAATTTCTTTTTTCTTTAACATTTCATCAAATGTATTCTGAAGTGTTTGAATGATCAAAACTTCTAGTTCTGTAGTGCCTCTTTGAATTGTTTGATGCTTTTTTATGCTTTCTTTTAATAAATTTGTGCATTGGTTGGCCTCGTGTGATTGTATTATACACATTGCACAGACAGCAATTTTACAGTCCGTGCATATAGAGGTACAGGCACTGCCATGATCTTTGCAGTTTGGCCGGTCGGGTTCCGCGTTTCTCTCTGAATACCGAAATTGTCCTCTCGAGGCGTACTCTGTCATGTGTCCCTGCTGCAGACCTCACAAAACTTCAGATTGCAGCTCTTACATCTTTTTCGTCTTTTAAAAATAATATGACAAGTTTCCATGATAATGAAAAAAAGTCATTTATTTGCAGTTTAAACACACTTCAATCAAAGAAAGCGGTTTATTAAATGTCTTTCTGGGGTTTGAGATCAATGAAAAGTATTGCTATTTTCAATTTTTCTGTGCAGGTTTATATATGTTATATACATTTATTAAAATTCGTTTTTTTAACCTCATGTTTCTATATAATTATACGATGTCATTGATTGATTGATTGATTGTATCTTGTTTTACGTCCCATTCTTTGAGAATTTTTCACTCATGCAGAGACCTCACCAGATACCGATGGAATTTACAACCCATGATCAGGACAATGTCAGAATGGTATAAACAGTGGTATATCATACCGCGGGGTGGTGGTGTTATTATTGCACTACTATGCAAATCTAAAGGGACGGTACGGACAGTCTGGGGCGTCTAGTTAGCAATTCACGGTGTGGTATAGCTGGAAACGAACAACCGAAGCATTAAAAAGACTTTGATGATGGTTAGAAACATAAACTAGAGTTTTTGTATCAACAATCATGAAATATTCATTGTGAAATTATACCGAATGTTGACTGTTGCTAAATAATATTTCGCTGGAGGGCGTAGTTCCATCAATCAGAGGTTATAAGCATGTTTTAGATAACTCAGGTGACCTATTGCTATCAGTTTTCATCTGCCGTTGTGCGTCTTGCAGTGCACCACTTATGTTAACATTTGAAAATTTTCAGCTTCTACTCTGTAACTGCTCAATCAGTTTCAACCAATCTTGGTATAAAGCATCTAAGGGTGAAGGGAACAACAATTGTGAATTTTTTGGTCCCTGCCACACTGATCCAGCCTGAGGGGTTGGGTCAAATTCACTAAAATTAATGCAATCTTTAAAAATCTTCTCTTTGACTCCAGGATATTATGCAGTCAAACTGTTGGCATGATTTTAATCAGCAATGCGTCCAAAATAGTCAATTCCTTACCCCAGGGCCAGGGGTTCTGGTGTAATCATAGCTATAATATTTCTTTCGGGTCAACCCATTTTATGTTTGAGTACAAGTATTAGCCAATTTTATGTATTAAAAGATATATTTGCTTAATGGCTAAGAATATTGTAAATTCCTTAGATGTTCTGCATTTTACAATAAAATCATTAATATTTTGTATCTTGTCTTTTCTTTGATTTTACCTTGTCAATAACATATTAGTAAAAGATTCTATATTTGTTAATCATCATTAAGAGCTAGTACATTTATTTTCTTTGCATTAAATCAAGGGTAAAATCAGCATTGAAAAAGCAAGACTCGACATCTACAGATCTCTGTAAATCACGAGACTAGGGGGGCGCTTAAATCAAGTTAAATCAGTGTCTTAACGAATAAAATCAATGTACATCACAAGACTAATGACATGAATCCATTTATTTATTCCTTCGGAGTGGTAGATGCTTAGATAAACTGACATCTCATGACTAGTAGAACATATATGTTGACACTGCCACGAAAAAGATCTCTCCTTGCTTAAAGGCCCTGAGTGCCGAGTATACTAGTTTCAAGTTTGCAGCTTTCCACTGGCAAGTGCTGGCGTTTCCACATGAGTGAAAAATTATCAACAGGGACGCTAAGTAACATACAATCAATCAATCAAATACTTCTCAAACTTTTAAAATGGTATCTGATAATTACCTATACATTTAATTCCCAGTTTTAATATATTATTTACATTTTAAACGGTTCAACATGCCATTTATGGTTACAGAAGTCAAAATAAGGATCTTTCAAATCCATATTCCAAAACCGTAAAGTTTTTTTTTACCGTTCATAGGTCCCTGCATATGTTGTAAATTACAAATTTAATATAGGCCCTTTATATGTTACTACTAGTCCAAAACCCCGCCACCTGTCCTCCAATCAGTCTACGAAGTAGCACTTACCACTTCTTTCTTCGTCATGTGACATTACAGATGTCGGGCGCATTGTTTTACTTGCTTGTGTGGGGGAATATAAATTGTCTGTTGAAGCTCTTCTGAATTTCCGCCTCTTTGTTTGAGCACAAGAAACTGTTCACCTGAGAGATTTTCCACAGATATTAGATATCGTAAAATGTAAAAAAAATCTTGAAATATATCTATTCAAAAAATACATAATTATACATTTAAAGTAAACCAGGATTTTTGATTTATTAATTTTCAACATTTTGCAGGCCGTTGTCATAACCTTGTCTGTACTGAAGATGAAATCTACGTTCGTGGTTCCTGCCTGCCTGATTTAGAAGGTAACATTTTTCCAACCTGATATTATATTGTTAAAGACACTGATGTTCAGGTGAAAAACACTATTGCTAATCGTATGTCTTGGACAACTTGTTATAAGTAACAATTAACATCAATGTGAATTTAAAAGACAAAAATAGCTTGCTAAACAGCTTTTTATCAAGTGTACATTGAACAAAAACACATTTCTTTATATTCCTTAAAATGATTTTTCTTTACTTTTGAATAATACAAGCAAAACAACATTATTTATACAGAATATATGTTACCAATGGAAAAAAAACAGATGCGATATAGTTAGCCTTGACTTAAAGATGGCAATAATAGCCTTAGATCTAGAAATGATACAATATGATTACGGTATCAAATCATAAGAATTAAAAAGACTTGGATAATTTTGGTATAACATCTTTGACATATAGAGATTAATATTTAAAAAAGAAAGATATATGAATATAATGAACAGTAGC